CACCACCACCACCACCATCACCATCACCACCATCATCACCACCACCATCACCACCACCGTCACCACTACCACCACCAACACCATCACCACCATCATCACCACTACCATCACCACCGCCACCACCACCACCAACACCATCACCACCATCATCACCACCACCATCACCACCACCACCACCATCACTACCACCATCACCACCACCAACAACAACACCACTACCACCACCAACACCATCACCACCATCACCACCACCACCACCACCATCATCATCACTACCACCACCACCATCATCACCATCATCACCACCACCATCACTACCACCATCACCACCACCATCACCACCATCATCATCACCACCATCACCACCACCATCATCACCACCACCATCATCACCACCACAAAAGCACAATTAAGGAGTAAAAACTAGATTGGCTATCTCAAAGCTAGTTCATATGGGACTAAAACAGAACTCACTTATTTTTGTCAACTTTGACTTCATCTGAAATTAGCTGAAACCCAAACAGGTGGGTACCCTGTGAGGTTTTGTTTTTTTCTTAATTAAATCCTTTAAAAAAGGAAAACCCACTTTTAATTTGAATCTTTTGAGGTGGAAAGATACACATTTAATCCAAATCTTTTGAGGTGAGAGGATCCACCGTTAATCTGGGGCACACTGTCTGGTGACAGCCTATATGAAGCACAAAGAAGAAGGAAGCTTGCTCTTTTGCCTGCTTGTTCTTGCTCTCGCTGGCAAGTCCATTCTTTCACTGGCGTTAGAGCCTATTTCTTTGGGATTCTTGTATATAGTGAAGAGCAGCTGAATCATCTAGCCTTGTGAACTGAACAGCTGCTGGATTCTTGAACCTTCCATTGGTAGACAGCCATTGTTGGACTAGCTGGACCACAGCCTGTAAGCTATTCTAATAAGTCATTCTCACATATATATGTGTGTGTGTGTGTGTGTGTGTGTGTGTGTGTGTGTGTGTGTGTGTGTATGTATATATATATGAATATCTCACAATATGTAATATATAATTTTATATTTTTATTTTATATAAATTTATTGTACTATACATACATATATATCAGTTTATTTTATATGGTGATCAGGAACTTGGAAAGAACATGACTGCAAATTTTGTAAGACATGTGGGGAAGAAGTGTGTGGATAGATGTATCCAAATGGAAGGAGGGTACAGTGATACCTGTGTCCCACGTAAACGTTCATCAGAAGGTGACTTCAGCAGAGAAGTTCAGTAATGAAATAAGATGACCCGTTCTGTGGACAGTCAGCCTCTTTTGACTCAGCTATCCTGTAATTGCCCAATGGGCACATGAACAGAGTGACCATAGTGGCAGAGATGGAGGTTATATATGGGGCTCGACAACAGGATTTCCACTCACCGAGGCTAATCTTGGCTATGGCTGCTGCTGCTGGGTGCCAGATCTGTCAAGAGCAGAGACCAGCACTGAGCCCCAGATATGGCACTGTTCCCTGGGATAACTAAGCAGCTATCTAATCACAGGTTGCTTCCACTGGACTACTTCCTCCTTACTGGAGTAGATACTTACTCTGTTTATGGAGTTGCCTTTCATGCATGTAATACTTCTGCCAAAACCACCATTTCATAGACTTAGAGAGTGCCTTAATCGCTGTCATGGTATTTGCACAGTATTGCTTCTGACCAAGGAACTCACTTCCTAGCCAGAGAAGTGAGACAGTGGGCCCACAGTCATGGAATCCACCGGTCTTCCCATGTTCTCTACCATCCTGAAGCGGCTGGTCTGATGGAAAGATGAATGGCCTTTTGAAGACACAGTTTCAGCACCAATTAGGTGGCAGCAGCCTGGGTGACTGGGGCAGGGTTCTCTAGAAAGCATTATATGCTTTCAATCAGTGTTCATTATAAGGTACAGTTTTTCCCATAGCCAGGATCCATAGGTCCAGGAATCAAGGGGTGGAAAAGGCAGTAGTTCCATTCACTGTCACCCCTAGTGACCCACTAAGAAAAATTTTGCCTCCTTTCCTGTGACCTTAAGTTATGCTGTCCTAGAAGTTTTGGTCCCAGATCAGGAAGCATTCCTGCCAGGAGCCACAGTAGACATTCTATTGAACTGGAACCTCAGACTTCCCCCTGGGCTTCTGATGCCCTTAAGACAACAGGCTAAGAAAGGAATAGCAGTGTTAGAAGGGGTGGTTGATCCAGATCACAAAGGGAAAATTAGATTGCTTCTTCACAACTGAGATAAAAAAGATTATGTTTGGAGCACAAGAGGTCCTTTAGGGTTTCTCTTGGTTACTATTATGTTCTATGATTAAAGTTAATGGGAAACTACAACAGCATAATCAAAGTAGGATGACAAAGGGCACAGACCCTTCAGGAATGAAGGTATAGGTCATTCTGAGAAAAGAGCCAAGACCTACCGAGGTACTTGCTTGAAGGTGGAGGAAATACAGACTGGGAAGTAGAGGAAGATACTTACAAATACCAGCTAAGGCCATGTGATCAGTTGCACAAGGGCTTATAATTGGCATGAGTGTTTGTGTCATACTTTGTTAAGAATGTGTTTGTACATATATTTGTTTTCTTTCCTCAATGTGTTTATCATGTAATGTAACATCAATTAAGGGGATATCAGTGGTTATAATCATTTGAGTTTGAGAGGCTAAGAGAATGTCCCTCAATGGACCCTGCCACCTATTCTCAAACGTATATTTGCAGTTGCATGAGGAATAGTTATATCATGTTAAGTGTAGTCATGAACTGGCTAGATATATAAGGCAGTTGTGATTGTACATGGGGTAGTTATATCAGGTAAGGTATGAGTATGACCTGGTTATTGTTCTCATTGGGATTTAAGGATGGCATAAGGAGATATAGTTGTGTGTCAGGTTGAGAAGGAGGGGACTTGTGATGACTATTCTTGGTTGTCAACTTGACTTCACCTGAAATTAACTAAAATCCAAGCAGCTGGCCGCACCTGTGAGGAATTTTTTTCTTTAATCATTTGAAGTAGGAAGACCCACTTTTAATCTGGGTCACACTATCTGGTGGCAGCATATAAAAAGGATACTTGCTCATTGCCTGCTTGCTCTCACTCTCGCTGGCAAGTCCATTTCTTACCTGGCATTAGAGCGTACATCTTTGGGATTCTGGTGTGTACTGAAGAGCAGCTGAGACATCCAGCCTCGTGGACTGAACAACTGATAGATTCTTGGACCTCCCGTTGGTAGACAGCCGTTGTTAGACTAGCTGGACCGTATTCATTCTGTATTCATTGTATTTCTCTAGAGAACTCTAATACAGTCACTCCATTCTTGTTTAGTCTGGTCTGTTACGGCCTGTGCGGCCAGAGCAGTGGGCCCCCAATAATTCTTAACACCCTGCAATGGTTAATACTGGTTGTCAACAGGGTCTAGAATCCTCTAGGAGTCAAACCTTTGGATGTACCTGTGAGGGAATTATTAGACTGGGTTAAGGTGGAAACACCAACCCTACATGTGAGGCCCTGGAGTAGGTCCCAGGCTGAGTAAAAAGGAGAAAGCAAGCTGGGCACCAGCATTCCTCTCCTTTGCTTCCTGACTAAAGACACTGTGTCGCCAGCTGCCTCGTGCTCCTGCCACCATATCATCCGAGAGCACTGTACCCTGAAACTGTGAAGGCAGCACAAATCTTCCTTCCTGTGTTACTGTCAAGAATTGGTCTCAGCATTAAGAAAAGTAACCAGTTTGGACTTGAATTTGGCAACTTGGTAACAGATTTGTCAACCGAATCCTGGGAATTCAGACTCACCAAACCTTTAAGTGCTTTATTTCCTGGTACAGTACACTTACTGGTAAGAAGTTTTTTCTTTTTTTTTTTTTGGTTTTTCGAGACAGGGTTTCTCTGTGTAACCCTAGCTGTCCTAGAACTCGCTCTGTAGACCAGGCTAGCCTAGAACTCTCGAACTCAGAAATCCACCTGCCTCTGCCTCCAAAGTGCTGGGATTAAAGGCGTGTGCCACCATCGCCCAGCGGTAAGAATTTTTTTTAATGATACTACCTTTAATATTTAATAAATGGAACTTAGAAATAATACCTATTTTCAGTAATGAAGTTTGAGCTAAGTAAATTATGATCCATTCATAAAAATTCTCATATTCCTGATAGAAATACTTTTCGAGGGTTAAACCATGGCTCAGTAGTTACGAGGGCTTGCTACGTTCTAGATGACTGAAATTTGCTTTCCAGCACCCATGCCAGGTAGCTCCCAACTGCCACTCCAGCTTTAAGAGATCCACCACCCTCTTCTGGCCTCAATGGGCACTTTCCAGAGATGGAGAAACCTTGGAATTCTGGATGTCTCAGTCAGTTCCCTCCCCTCACACTTGGCTTAGGGAAGCCTACAGAAAATGGGGTGGGAATATTGTCAGAGCCAGAGGACATGGAGGACACTGAGTAAACAATACATTCTAACACAGCAGAATTGATACACACATGAACTCACCGAGACTGCCGGCAGGCAAAAGGTTTGGGGTCTCAGCATCTCAGTACAAGTGGACATAAGCCCACATCACATCAATGACTGAGACGCTGTCTTCAGTTGATAACCACTTGCAAGTGAAAAATCAGTTTTTTCCAATGGAGTCTCACTGTGTATACAAACCACTCAAGGCCAGGCCGCAAGCCCAGCAGCAGATGGACAACATAAAATGAAGTCAATGTTATTTTCGGAGGACTTTTTGTTTACTTTCACAAAGCTTTGTCTGAGATTTCTTTTTTCTTTTTCTTACACCACAGGTCTTTGCTTATACACTATGCTTTCCAACTTTGTAATATTGAGGAGGTTTCCATGTTTGCTAATGTGTTTGTCTCTATGTGTGTATGTGTTTCTTGTTTTTTCTTTGACCCTGTTTCTCTGTTCATTTGTTCGGTTTGTCCTATTCAGGTTTATTTGTTATTTTATTATTTTTTCCTTTAGATCCCTATTTGTTTTCTAATGTAGGAGAGCAAGAAAGGATGTGGACTTGGGTGAGTGGGCGAGGATCTGGAAAGAGTTGGGGGGTGGGGAAATGGAACTAAAATTGAAATGAAGGAAAAAAAACAAGAGCAGCATGTAAGAAAATTCAGGCAGAATTTTGCATGGAAAAAGTCATCTCACTCAGAGGCATCATTTTTCTTTTTGGCACAGGAAGCTTCAGCCTTAAAACCTAACTTTAAAAAACTTTTAAAATTATTTTAGACATTTAGCAAAATGATATCCCATCTTTAAAACTGCTTACATGTCCCCTCTGTTTACATTGCAACAGTAATATTACAGGCTAGTTGCCTCAAGTCTCAAAATGAGTAAAAAATTTAGAATAAAGGACATTATAACCATTACCATCACCAATTAAAGGTACAGGAGTATTTTGATTATTGTGTGCTTATATAAAGTACATAAATACCATATTGGATAGTAATTAAGAATATAAACATTACAGAAATTGACTTGAAAAATAAAACATTCTACTAAGAAGGAGATACTGATTGTGAAGATTTTTGTGTCCATCATTGCCATGTCAGAGTCCCTCATTTGTGCCACAAAAGCAAGGTGGCAGGGAGCTAACATCCTTATAGATGTTACAATCATCACAACACTGGAGGGGACGACAAGTCTCAGCAATAATGGGCTTGGCCCAGATGATCTTCTCATGGGGGTCCTTGCATGTATCCATACAGCTTTCAGCCTCTCTTGCGATTCTTAAGAAAAGACACACAAAACAAGCTTAGAATTTTCCTTCCCAGTGAGCTCCTTACAATTATGAGGGCTGTGTGAGAAAGTCCAGGGTTGGAGCCCATCATACATGTGACACCAGCCTTGGCTTAAAGCTCTCTGCTCCTTTCCCACCTTTTCCTCTCCTACAGTTGCTGTGCATATGAAACCAGGATTCCATAACAAATGAAGGAGAGTGAATTGTACCCCAGTGGCTGCTACAGGCCCAGGAGATGTGGGGATGATGGAGAAGGCACAGCAGTTGGCTAGACTCAGCTCTG